TAAAGGTCATAAGCTATCCCACCAGCTGGCAAAGTGTATGAAATTTCTTTAATTCACAAAGAAAGCCTTGCTAAAGTCATCTTTAGTGTAGGTCTAGTAATACATTGCCTTAATTGAGCGTGGCTACGAAGTTTATGATTCTTAAGTAAGCTCCAACTATATATATATATCAAAATATCTTATGTTTAATTACACAATTTATTGACTACCATTTAAATTTAACATGTGTATAAAAGTCACAATTTGTTATTATACATTTTTGCTATATATCAATAAATTAACAACTATTACTTTTTAACATTAGGTAAATTTGAACACAATTTTATTTCAGATAATATTTTCGTTAATGGATTAATAAAAAAAATTGTTGTATTAACATTCTTATTGCCGAGTTGAAGTGAAAGGACAAAAAGGATAAAATCTATAATTTAAATTTTTTTTTTTAAAAAAAAATATAATTGTATTATTTAAAATTAAAAAAAATTAAGGTTTCATAGTACTGCCTTCATATAGCCAATATAGGACAGCCGAGACGAAAAAAAATGCCACTAGCGATCGACCTTATAGTCATATGATAGTCACATGCTAGAAGCGTTGTTATTCATATATCAACAACATATTCAAAATATATTATTCGTATTTTTACTTCAAATTGGTTTTTCTATTCAAAATATGTTATTCATATAACAACAACATATTTGAAATATATTAACAATGTATTCAAAATATTCACTATATCATTAGTTTGAGTACATATTTTAACATACTTTGAAAATATTGTAAAATTATTTTATTCATATTAAAAAATTATTTACTACATTAGTTTAAATTTCAACATATATTAAAAATATTATAACATTATTTTATTAATATTACAAACATATTACGTATATTAAAATACGTAGAACATATATATACCATCTGTTAGTAACATGTAGTGATTATGTCTAACATATTTTGTGAAAATCAGAGGTTTCTGCAAAGTATAATATCCTCAACCCCGTAGTCAACATCATTCTAGTTGAAAGTTCTAGAAAAAAAAAAATTCAATATTACTATTATTACTGTATATGTTATATGTAATGTGACCAAATTTATCTATCAAGTGCGATAATTTTCAAAACCTGCGTAACGTTTGGGACAATTTATGAAACCAAATGTTGATCATAAAAGAATATGTTTCACTGTAAAAAAGAAAATGGAAAGAGAATTCTATTTTTTGTAATTATTTTCTTTATTGTTTCCACATTAAATCGTAACGCAAAAGACAATTGTAACAAAGTAATAACCGACTTGAATTCATTATGAGTTTGAAAGAAAAAGCCTTATCCTTTTTTATTTATTTATTTATTTATTTTTTTAATAAAAAAGAAAAATTTGACCTCGTTTAATTAATATCTCGATTTTTTTTAAAAAATGTCTACACTATCAAATTCATTAATTAAAAATTATACAAATATTGTTGATACTGATGCATTATCTGATATAGAGATATTAGTTGGTAAAATTCCAAATACCGAAATTTTTCGTTTACATTCTTTCATATTAAAAGTTTGTTCTCCTTATTTTCGTAATTTATTATCAAATGAACAACAGATAAAAATTGAGAATAATATTATTAGAATTAATATACCAAATATTTCCGTAAAAATATTTAAAATTATTATAAAGTACGTATATACATTATAATAAATAACTTTTTCATAAATAAGAATATAAGTTTATAGAAAGCAGCCCATTAAATACTTTTTATTATCTTTTTTTATTATCTTTTTTTTTTTTGAAAAAAAAAAAAATTTATAATAATGTTAATTAATTTCATAATTTTATTCTTAATTTTTTAGGTATATATACGTTAATAATTTTAAACCTGAAAAATATGATTTTAAAACAAATGCCGAACTTTTAATTGCAGCTGATGAATTGAGTCTTAATAATTTATCCAATTTTATTGAAAATTATTTATTAAAGAAAGAAGAATTATTGAAACAAAACTTTGTTTTCGTTTTACAAGATATTACAAATGAGTTAAACCGATTTGTAAGATTATCATATTTTTGTAATGAATCTTTTCGAAATGATCCCTTAATAATTTTTAAAGCAAAAGATTTCACTTTAATTAAACAAGAAGTACTTATTCGATATCTTGATATTATTCAACATTGTGCAAGACCAATTGATATTTGGGATAAAATTATAGAATGGACCAACGCACAATCTAATGGAATATCATCAAATATTACAAAATTAATAATTCAACCATTTATTTCATTCATTAATTTTAAAGAAATAAGTCGTTTAGATTTTTATTTAAAAGTCAGATCATTTGAGAATATTTTTGATGATAAATTATATATTGAAATATTAGAACATTATAGTTTTAATGATTTTCAAATAGTAAATCATATAGATTCTCAAATTATTAATTTAAAAGAAGCTTCGTTTATCGCTAATAGAATAAGAATTACGAAAAGACAAAGACGAGAAGTTATTTATAATTTTAATTTACTTGTACGTGGAAGTAGAGATGGATTTAGCGAAAAAATATTTCATGAATATTGTGATGATAAAGGACCTACAATTACTATCATTCACGTTAAAAATTCTAATGAGATTCTTGGAGGATTTAATCCATTTAATTGGGAATCTTGGAAATCCAATAAAGGATTTATTGAAACTAAAGAAAGTTTTATTTTTTCTTTAGATAGAAATAATTTAGAAAATTCTATTTTTAGTAAGGTTGTTGATAATAAAAATGCAATATATAATAGTCCAGATTATGGTCCATGTTTTGGAGGTGAAAAATCAGATATCGAATTATTTCGTAGAGAAAAATATGGTCGATGTGTTATGACAAGTTACGAAAAAGAAATTAGACAAGATGAAAAGTTTTTTGAAGTAGATGAATATGAAGTATTTCAAGTCAGTAAAATAATTTAAAAATAAAAAATATTTCACCTAAATTGTAATAATTATCGAATATAATTAAGTCGGGCCAATAAGCATAGTGCTGGCCAGAATTAATTTTGTCGGCTGGCACTATCTTTTGTATTCACGTGATCACGATTTAGAGCTACACGAGTCTAAATCTCTGATTGATACTAAAATTGTCAATACTATACCAAGTATGATAATAATAAATTTCCTCATTTAAACTACATTAGATCTAACAATAATATTAAACAAAGAATAAAAATAACAATGTTTAGTAGTTCTGAAACGCATCACAAAAATGTTGATCATAAACTCAAGGTAGCACGAGTTCATTGACAAATGTTGTCGGTTTCACCAAAAAGGTGATTTATTGTTTTCATTTTAGGTTATGCATAACGAAATGACTCCGAGAAAAAAAGTAATTTATATTGCGGTTTATTTTTTTATTCTACTAGTATCTTTTTTTTTTAAAAAAAAAAGAAAGAAAATGGTAAAGGAAATGGAATCATATAGATCTTTTGACATGACATGTTTATTATCTAAAGAATATATCGAAATTTTCGAAACTGGTGAATTCTTCGATACAGAAATATTGGTTGGCGAAAATTCGAACACTAAAACTTTTCGTTTACATTCTTTGATATTAAAAGTTCGTTCCCCTTATTTTCGTATTGCGCTTTCAAATAATTGGAAAAAAGTTGAAAATAATATAATTAAATTTAAAAAGCCAAATATTTCCGTAAAAGTATTCGAAATACTTATCAAGTAAGTATTTAACATTTATGGTTTCATATACAACTACGTTATCTCATTTATGGTTTCAATATATATATATATATATTATACAACTACGTTATCTCATTTATGATATAAAATCTAACTACGTTATCTACGTTATCTACGTTATTTTATCCTTAATTTTAGGTATATGTATAGCGGTAAACTCGATCTTGAAAATGATGTAAAGACAAATATCGCAATTTTAATCGCAGCTGATGAATTATGTCTTAATGAATTATGCATTTATATTGAAGAATATCTACTTGAGAACGAAGAGTTATTAAAACAAAATCTTATTCTTATACAAGATATTACAAGCAAGTTCACTCAGTTTAAAAAATTGACACAATTTTATAACAAACAAGATGATTCCTTAATTTTTCAAGCGAATGATTTCACTTCAATTAAACAAGAAGTTCTTCTTGATATTATTTCTAAACAACATAAACTCGGTTTAAAACCCGTTGAATTTTGGGATAAAATTAAAGATTGGGCAATAGTACAATCTAGTGGGTTGACATCAGATACTACAAAAAAGTCTGATATTAATATAAAATTATTTAAAACCTTAATTCAACCATTTATTTCATTTATTAATTTTAAAAAGATAAGTAAGATAGAATTTTTTCGAAAAGTTAAACCATACAAATATGCATTTGATGATAAATTTTATATTGAAATAATGGAATATTATTGTTTTGATAATATTCAATTAGTTAATTATATAGATTCTCAAATGATTAATTTAAAAGAAGCATCATTTATTGCTAATTGGATAAGTATTATGAAACAACAAAAAAATGATATTACTTATGATTTTAATTTACTTGTACGTGGTAGTAGAGATGGATTTAGTGAAAAAACATTTCATGAATTTTGTGATAATAAAGGACCTACAATTACTATTGTTCGTGTTAAAAATTCTAATGAAATACTTGGAGGATTTAACCCATGTAATTGGATATCTGAAATTGGTTATAATAGTGTTGAAGAAAGTTTTATATTTTCTTTAGATAGAAATAATTTAGAAAAGTCCATTTTTAGTAAAGTTATTGATAATGAAAATGCGATTTATAATAGTGCAAAGTATGGTCCATGTTTTGGGGGTGGTGGAATTTCTTCAGATTTTGAATTATTTTATAAGGAAAAACAAGGTCAATGTATTAAAGAAAGTTATGAAAAAGCAATTAGACAAGATGAAGAATATTTTAAAGTTGATGATTATGAAGTATTTCAAGTTATTATTTATAGTTCTTAATATTTATACGTTAAAATTAATTTTTATAATAAGTTCGTCTCGTGTTTTAATTAATATATAGAATTTTTAATTTAAGCTTTTATAAATAAATAAAAAAATCAATTCATTTATTTAATTTGATGAACAATTTTATCTTTTTAAAGAAAAGAGGTTTTCACAAACAATTATTTATATTGGGCTGATTTACGACAATTATTTTATAAAGATAATGTTATCATTTTGGGCTACTCTAGCAATACATCCAATACCGTGTAGATCCTTCCTTTTTTGGATAATTCCAGGCGGCATTATGTAGGTTTTGCCCTGAAGAGACGTTAGAGACGCGTAGAGCTAATGGTAAATGGTGCCGCCTGCTGATTTCTATAATTACCTAATCTATTGTCACACTTGCGTAATTGATGAAACAGTAGCAGATTGGCCATAATAATTTTAATGCGACTTTTTTAACTGTAGTCCCTATATGTAAAGCATATGAAACATCCTTATTGAAGATAATAACGGAATGAAAAAGGGTACGTTATACTTTATTTGTTCTAAAAATAAATACTATATATTATTATGTCCCAATTTATCAATTCAAGACATCCTTTAACATAAATGATTGACAAAGAATTTAAAAATGTCGCGTATTACAAATGTCGATCGCATTAATTGTTTGGTTTCACCCAAATAAGAAGAATTTTTGTTTCTATTTTAAGCTAATAAAAAGATTTTCGTAAAAGACAATATTTTTGCGTTTATTAAATATATATTATAAATTTATGGTTTATTATTTCATTTTTCTCTATTAAATTTTTTTGTTAAAGAAAAATGGTATCATTTCAATTTAATGATACTACTATGTATACAGAAAATATAGAAATATCAAATTTATTATTTAAAAAATACACAAAAATTCTTGAAACTGGTGAATTATTCGATACAGAAATATTGGTTGGAGAAAGGCCAAATAATAAAATTTTTCGATTACATTCTTTTGTATTAAAAGTTGGTTCACCATATTTTCGTACTGCATTTTCAAAAAATTGGAAAAAAGTTGAAAATAATATTATTAAATTTGAAAAACCAAATATTTCAGTAGAAGTATTCGACATTCTTATCAAGTATGTTTTATTAATTTTATTATTATTAATAAATATTTTATAAATATTTTTCATTTACTAAACTTTACCTTTAATTTTCAGGTATATATATGGTTATAAACTTGAACTTAAAAATTATAATTTTAATACAAATGTTGACCTTTTAATTGCGGCTGACGAATTGTGCCTTAATAATTTATGTATTTTGATTGAAGAATATCTTCTTGGAAATAAAATTTTATTAAAACAAAATTTTATTCTCATTCATGATACAACAACCAAACGTCCTCATTTTGAAAAATTATCTAAATTTTGTGCTTTTACTTTAACGCATGATCCTTCGATAATTTTTAAAGCAATTGATTTCACTAAAATCAAAAGAGAATTTCTTCTTAATATAATAACTAAAAACAATCATTTATTTAATCCTATTGAAATTTGGGATAAAGTTATGGAATGGGCTATTGCACAACTATCCGAACCATCCGTTGTAAGAAAAACATCATTAAAAACCTTAACTCATCCATTTATCCCATTCATTGATTTTAAAGAGATAAATCGTAAAGATTTTTATCAAAAAGTCAGACCGTTCAAGTATATTTTTGATGATAAATTTTATATTAGATTAATTGACCATTATGCCTTTAATGATATTTATATAGAGATTTGACTCACTTACGTTGTCCATGAGCGTCTGGTCTAACTTTAACCTGGGGACAATGAGATAATGAGATAATGCCCGTCCGACAACCTAAACCTCAATTTCAATCTATCCCGAACCCAATCCCCATATTATGTATTTATCTTCACTTCTACGCTCTTAGACAACGTTTCACTAGTAATTATAAATTGCAGTCTCTCGAGTCAAAATTCGAGCCAAAAGTTAAAGTGCAGGTCAAAATACCTTCCGTAATTTTACCCGGTTTAGAAGAAGTGTAGTGCTTACTGAAATTACACATAGTATCAGCTGGTACTGATAATATACGTAATATACGATCGCGATTCGTGTTGAAGTTTTAATGAAGATTGAATTTAATTGACTATAGTTTAGATAGTAAAAATGGATTGATTACAAAGATTATCAGTTATTGCAAAGTATATCAATAATTTCAATAAAAAAAAGTCATTTTTTTCTTATATAACATATTTTTATTAAGATTTCGTAAAGTTGTCATAATAATTTGATTTCCTTATAATCCTTTATAATTTTTATATTTGTGACTGTAATTTTAAAAAATTCTTAAAGCTAAAAAATTTATTGTAGAAAGAATGAAATAATAAATATAAATGCAAAATTTTGACTTAATAATTTTCTTTATCATAAACTGATTAATATTAGTTGTTATAATAATTTGATTTCTTTATAATTCTTTATAGTTTTTATATTTGTGACATTAATTTTAAAAAAATTCTTAAATCTTAAAAATTTCTTGACAGAAAGAATGATAAACTGATTAATATGTTAAAATTTGAAATAATATAAATACTTTAGTTAGAATTCTTAGTAATTTGGAAAACTTCATATTCTTCTATTTCAAATTCAGCTTCGATTTGTCTTATTTTTTCTGAATAATTATTCTTGCAATATTGACCTCTGTTAGTATTATTAAGTAGTAATTTTAAATCTGATCCAAATTCAGGCCCACTATTCACATCTTTCAACAGACTTCTGATTGTACTAAAATCTACAAAATTGGCACGCAATGGTTCTACCGTGCAGGTTGATAGAAGTGAAGAGTCATCAACCTCGCCAAAAGTACTAGGGTTGACTTTACTTAAAGAAAAAATCAAACTTCCTCTAATTTTATTACCATAACATCCATATTTCCAATCGCATGGGTTATAACCTCCAAGAATTTCATTAGTATCTTTAACTTTTGCAATAGTAATAGTTGGTCCTTTGTTATCACAACGTTCGTGGAAATTTCTACGATCAAATCCATTATCGCTTCCACGAACAAGCAATTTTAACTTATAGAAATTTACGTTGGATACAAAAAAATCAGCAAAATTACGATTCTCAATATAATATTTAATATATTTAGTTAATATACAAGCTAATTCATAATCGAGAATCTTAGAATTTATATTTACAGTATTATAAACATAATTTTCTAGAATTTTGGTATAAGTGTTATTATCAAAACTATCTTTGAGGGGTCTGATTTTTTGAAAGAACTCATAAGCAGGAATTTCTTCAAATTTAATATACGGAATAAATTGTTTAATTAAAGTTCCACATGTTTTCACGTTATCAGTAGTCCACTTTGTAATTTCCGATGGTAATTCATTAGATCGAGCAATTGCCCATTCTATAATTTTATTCCAAACTTCAATTGGTTTTAAAGAGAGATTGTCTTTAGTAAGAATACGAAGAAGAAATCCTTCACTGATATCGGTAAAATCATTTGCTTTTAAAAATAATGAAGGGTCTTGCTGATAAGCGTTCTTATAGTATTTTGACAGTTTCGTAAATTTGTGGCGATCTGCAACAGTCTGAATAAGAACAAAATTTTGTTTTAATAATCCCTCGTTCATAAGTAGATGTGTTTCAATGAAAGAACATAATTCATTAAGATGCAGTTCATTAGCTGCGACTAAAAGTTCAACATTTATTTTAAACCCATTATTTTCAAGTTTAAGTTTGTCGCTATATATATACCTAAAATCAAGTAACGATTAGAATGTTTACACAGTCTACAAATTTAACATCATAAAATTATATACTTACTTAATAAGAATTTCAAATGCTTTCGCAGAAATATTTTTATTTGCGATTTTAATACCATTTTCAATTTTTATCGGCTGTTTCTTTGATAATAATTCACGAAAATAAGGAGAACAAACTTTTAATATAAAAGAATGTAAACGATAGGTTTTGGTGTTTGGTTCCTTTCCGACCGTAATTTCTATATCAGAAAGTTCACCAGTTTCAAGAATCTTGGTATATTCCGCAAATAATATACTTTGCATCATTGAATTGTATAGGTATTTTTTTTTTTTTTACTGCCAGATTAAGGTAAATCTAATAAAATGAATAATTTATAATAATTTATTCCAATATAACAACTTACTTAAGAATACTATTATATATTTATAAATTATTTTTTATTCACAGTGTAAGAAATTGAAAAAGAATAAAATTGAAGGACGAATTTTGATAGTTTTCACGTCACAAATTCGCACTGGAGGAGATTATTATATAAAAATTTTTTTTCATTCCCAAAGTTGGAAACAATAAACAATTTACATTAAGAAAACAAGGAATTAACAATATAATGCCAAATTAATCTTTTTAATTCAATATATGATATTAATGATGTTTCACGAATCAAAGACTCCTTTGTTTCATAAACTTATTTGATCGACAGTTTCAAATACTACGATTCTCGACAAACTTAATTTCCGGTGAAACCTCTGAAACCCATCACTTAAGTTATTGATATACTAAATTAAATAAAGATTCAGAATTGGAGTGAAATGACCAAAACTTGTCAATAAATCTAAAAGTGAATTTGTACTTCTGGATATTACAGCGGGTATTCGTATAGCCGAACATTTTGAACGTTCATGTTACGGCATGGACCTTAGTGTAAATTCAAATAATTAGCTTCAAGGAAGTGGCTTAGAGAATTGAACATAAAAAATACATAATAAAGTTTAACAAAATTAACAAAATTAAATAAATGAATTACGCCCTTTATTATTAAATAATTTTTTTAAATAAAGAATTTAGTTAGTTTAAATCATATATAATTATTATATAAATATATAATAATAGAATTAAATAAATAACTAATAACTTACTATAACTTTTAAGTAAAGAATTTAGTTTAAATTAATATGTAAATATTGTAATGATAACATTAAATAATAACTTATAACTTACTAACTAAAATAAATTATCAAATAATTTTATGATAAAGAATTTAATTAGTTTAATTATACACGTAATAGAAATATAGAAAATACATGACTTACACGCTGTAGTATTAACTTTATATGGAGACGTCCAAAGAGGCAAGTCACGTGATTATATTGCCTTTCATTTTACTAAGTATTCTTAGGACTTAATTTTTTTTCTCCATTCATATTTTGCAAATATCTTGCTACATCGAATTCAATCCCTGTCAAAAAAGCAGTTTTTAAAGCTTGTGCTTTTTTTTTCCGTAGCATCTTCTACTATTTGAGCCGTACAGGTGCTTTGATAAATTCATGAATTTTATCTAATTCTGTTCATCTATCATCGCTGTTGTAACTGAAATTCAGATATATGAAATTAAAGTTTGACGATCAATTAAATGAAATTGAAATTTCAATTTCAGTTATCTGAATTTAAAGATTAGCTAGATTTCAATTTCAGTCACAACATTGATTTGGGAACGTCATACTCTTGTGTCGGTGTTTGACAAAATGGTAGAGTCAAAATTATTGCCAATGACCGTGGTAATTGTACAACACCATCATATGTCGCTTTCACTAATACAGAAATTCTTATTGGAGATACCGCCAAAAATCAAGCCCTCATAATACCGTATTTAGTGTTCATCGTCTCATTGGTCATAATTTCAATGACCAGGCGTTCAATCTGATATGAAGGTATGTTTAATATAATAAAAATGAAAATTCTCCAAAAATAAGAAAGAAAAAATAATAAATTATTATTCAAAAATTTGGATTATATAACAATTAAAAAAATCTTTCAAATATATTAGAATTGGCCGTTCAAAGTCGTCAACAATAATGGTAAACCATATATCAGTGTTGAATACAAACATAAAAAGAAAATATTTTTGCCCGAAGAAATTTTATCCATAGTATTAACAAAAATGAAAGAAATCGCAGAAGCTTTCCTTGATACACAAGTTAAAAATGCCGTAGTTACAATGCCAGCCTACCTTAATGATTCTTAACGTCAAGCGATAAAGGATGCAGGGTCGATTGCAGGTTTGAATATACTTCGTATCATTGCTCGACCAACTGCAGCGGCCATTACTTACGGTTTGGACAAGGTGGTGCTTGTAGTGTCTCTCTCTTAACTATTGAAGAAAGGGTTTTCCAAGTAAAATCCATTGCTGGTAATGCCATCTTGGTGGTGAAGATTTAGATAGTCGTCTTGTTAAAATGAATTTAATAGAAAATTTAAGAAATATATCTCTTCCAATGCACGTGCTATCCGTCGTTTAAGAACGGCGTGTGAGCGTGCGAAATGTGCACTTTCAGCATCATCGCGAACTTCCATTAAAATTGATTCTCTCTTTGAAGGTATTGACTTTTATACCTCTTTGACACGTACCAGATTTGAAGAATTGAATCAAGATCTATTCCGTTCTATAATCGAACCTATTGAGAGAGTACTTCAAGATGCTAAAATTGACAAAAGTCAAATTAACGAAATTGTTTTGGTTGGTGGATCAACACGTATTCCCAAAATTCAAAGAATGATATCCAGATTTTTTAATGGCAAAGAACTAAATAAGTTCATCAATCCCGATGAGGCTGCAGCTTACGGTGCTGCAGTACAAGCTGCTATTTCTGAAAAAACCCAAAATATACTTCTACTTGATGTCACTTCTTTATCTCTTGGTATCGTGGTATGAAGCGGATTATTAAACGTAATACCACAATATACTAAGAAATCTGAAATTATGTCTACAGATCTTGATAATCAGTCTAGAATATTACTTCGGATATATGAAGGTGAAAGTACCCGAACAGGAGATAACAACTTACTCAGAAATTTTGAATTTTTTTGTATTAAGCCAGCACCAAAAGGTGTTCCAAAAATTGAATTACCTTTGATATTGATGAAAAAAGTATGTATATGAGACTATGAGTATATAATTATACAGTTATATTAATTATGTTTTAAATCAATACTATTATAGGTTTCTGCTGTTGATAAAGCAACTGGCAGATCAAATAAGATTACCATTACTAATGACAAAGGACGATTATCGAAGAAAGAAATCGAACGCATAGGTTCGAATCATTCTTTAATATTCAGATTTTAATAATAATTTTACACTAATATATGAATTTTATTTTAAAAATAACAGCTTCCGAGACTGAAAAATATCATGCAGAAAGAAAGAAAATTGCTCAAAAATGCAAGCACGAATGATTTGGAATACTATGCGTATAACCTACGTAATTTGGTTCAAGTAAGTTTCTCAATTTACTGCTAAAGTTATTTCTGTTCGATCAAACTTACAATCTTGTTTAAAATGGACTCAAATTTAGAATATTGATGATATAAAGAAAAAACTTGAAATTGCAATAGAAAATCAACTACATGGCTTGAAAATAATCAAGAAGCAAAAAAAGATGAATATGAGCGTGAACAAAAATTACTTAAAGAGATTACCGACTAAATAATAATTGAACTTAATAGCGTAAATAATCCTTCATAATCATCTTAATTTAAAAATATGTTTGATAAATTTCATGAAATTAATCATGTCATTCTGTAATCGATGATATTTTCGTTTTTATTTATATTGCATTCCTGAATCAAAATTGTATAATATGATCGATGGCTATCTTTATTTTAGAAAGGATTATTAAATACATATAAAAAAGCATATTCACACCTTATCAATACAGTTAAAAGAAGAAAGAATCTATGAAACATTCTGATAAGAATAACAAATACTCATTTTAGCGCGGGTTAACTTCGTGTAGATCTTGTCAATTTTTTTACTAGATACAGGCCGACATCATCTTAATTCCGGCCCTGAAGAAATGAATTTTTCGGGGTTCAATATAGTAATCATCAAAAGCAATTTGAGCGTATTTTTTATCATTATAAATTTAATAAATTTAATAGAAAACTAAATTAAAATTTCTTGTTTATCCATCGTAATTATTAATAACTATATTATTATTGTTATTTTGCTTTGGATTAATCACTCATAAAACTATGATTCTAATAAGTTCTGGTCAACAATTTATTTAAGAAAAATGGGTAAATGGATAACTTTAATATAACAAAAATGCGAACATAATTACAATGAGTAAAGTAGGAAAGAACAATCAAATTGAAAGTGAAGAAAGTGTTACGGAAAAGGTAAAAAAGGATTTGACAAAGATATAACATTTGATAAGTAAGATCGTCGAGCACCTACCCAACATGAAAAAACTACTATATTAAAACTAGATACAGCTCGCTCCATTATATTCATCATCTTATCGTGGGAGACATTGTGATTAAGTTCGGTATCAAAAATTTTTATTTAATAAGCGGTAAATCGATGATTGAGACTAACAGACAGTTATTTATCCATTTACAATTCATATTATTATTATTTTTCAACATCTAAATTGCAGTAATATCATAATAGTGAAAAATGTATATCGAGCATTTATTTAAACTAAACATAATGAACAAACATATTTCAAGAATATTAGTTACTGCTCAATCTTTCTTTATAAATTGGTTTCAAATTTTATTGATAATCTACCTACAGTATAAGGTAATTTTTAAATAAAATATAGTAAAGTAAAATTTAACTTATTTTGTATAATCAAATAAATTCTATTGAATTATTATTGAGTTTCTTTTTGATATCCATCTGTTTCTTTAAGTGCCCGTCTATTTTTTTTCAATTTTCATAATAAGTTTAAATTATGATGTATCCAACATATGAGCAACGAAATAACCAAATTAATTCTTACAATTCAATAACAGAATTTTGCCTGTTCTTTGAGTTTGAATCCCGACACTTTCCATTAAATCAATATAACGATATTGTGATTCGCTGCTATCACGTGATACATTCGATAATTATGAGTTTAATCATTTAGAATTCTCACTCAGCAGATGCATAACATGAATTGAAACATGCATCCTCAACTTCGCTCAACAATATACATTTATCTAATATATCGTTCTATTTATTATTATTATTTCAATAGTATCTAAGAATAAATTCTAATAAATTTACAGTATTTTAAAAAATAAGCAGCGTAGCGCAGAGGAAGCGCGCGGGGCCCATAACTCCGAGGTCGGGGGATCGAAACCTTCCGCTGCTATGTCATATTTTTTTTTTCTTTTTATTTTGCTTTTTGAAATTATAGATATGACTCATCATATGTCATTTAGTCATTACTGCGCAAAAGGCGCAAACTGCGCATGTTAATTGCTGCGTATTGGAAATTACTTCCAAATACGTTTAATAAATAATTTCATTTTTTGCTTCTAATATAGGATTGGAAATAAGAGTGCTAAAGATTTAATATTTATTTTATTATTATAAATTTTAATTCAAGCTACGATAAGACCTGAAATAAGTTTAGGGTCATGTTTGTTTGTTTTTTGCTGTGTAATCCAGATCGATGCTATGATTGGACAATGTTTGATATACTTACAATAATATTCATAGGAGTAAAGAAATAAATATATAATTTATATTGGCGACATTTATCAATTATTATTTAACTAAACATATAATTCTATTTTTTTCTTTTCTTCTTTCTTCACCATTACACGATTTAATTGAATTGATATTTGGAGCTGAAATAAACAATTTATGAATCTACTATTTAAGTGGAATTGTAAAAGTCATTCATACTAGAAGCTGCAAATTTAAGAGATGATTTAACTATACTGAAATGAAATTGCCTATATAGACCGCCAGAAATTCTTAAGTCCATTTTAATCTCAATCCCATTGTTAAAGTTCAAGATGTAAACTTCTTTATCGTAATTGGTTTTGAGCCAATTTTCTATTGCATAAGCAGTAGTTGTCTTGGTACTCTGCCGATGCCCATATAGGAAACAGACTTGCCATTAAGGAGAGAATTTCCTAGGTTCAATGTAGTAGTTAATTGCTTCATACACCCTGCTTGAAGACCAGGTCCTACACAAAAAGAAGTATTCGCTCAGATATTCAACTTTTGCAAAGCAGATCTTCCACTTTTTATGTCAATACTTTTTCTGTCTTCCGAATAGTTCAGGTTTCTTTTTCTATTGAGGAAATCATTTAACGTGTTACAAAGAAAAAAAAGAGATCAGAACAAACTCGATATTTTGTTACTGCATATTTCTTGTTCGAGAGGTAAAAACATGAAAGACACGTACTGGAGAACATCCACAACATCGTACATGTGCCCTCTATTGGTAAAAGTTTAATTGAAAAATACTCCTTAACCATGTAGTCAGGTTTCATCATCTCGCCAATAAGAATGTCTTTAATGTTATTTTTTTTAACTTTTCAAGCAGGTGTTCTTCATTTTCAGCGATGTCAACCCAATCAATGTTTTTTTTTTCTCAATACTTGAGATGTCCAATTTTGAGTAAATCATATTCGACTGAGTGTTACCAATTAAGCTGCTTTTAGCAACGGTAACCTGAAAACTTTCATTAGAAGTCTCTCCTAAGAGTAAACAATTTAATGAAATTCAATTTTGGAGATTTTCTGTAAATTAATAAAATGAATTTTTAGACAAAGTAGTATTTTATTAGAGGAAGAAATTTTTTAAAAAAAACTGAAAAAGTTTAATATCTTTTTGATTCGTCATGACTAATAATAAAATAGACTCTTGAGTGGCTTATAATGACGATATAGGTAAAATAGTATAAAAAAGTAAAAAAATTAGTTTATCAGTAAAAATTTATGTGAAAGAAATGATTAATAAGGTCTGCATGAGATGCAATTTTGGAAACTATTTCATACCAGAATTTAGTAGTCCATGAATCCATGATACAACTGAAATATGCACCGCAATGTTGTAATATGCTGATTTTGAATTTTGATGAACTGAAATTTATGTTAACGACTAAAGTTACATTCAAAATTGGTGTAAATACTAATCTCGTTATACTTTTCAAATAAAAAAAACTAATTTATTCATCTAATTAGTTCATGAGGAGTTGGAAATAATAGGGTTTTCCTTCCCAGGAAATAAATAGGTAATCAATCGTCCCCTGGAGCGTGTCACTCAATTAACGTGATTAACTATTTTTAACTATTTAAACTCAAAAATTAGTAGGAGATTACTGAAAAAATTTGCGCTACTTTTTTATTTATTTTATTATAAAAATAGTATGTATAATTGTAGTTCTTTTTGTGTAAACCATTAACTGTTAATGAAAAAAGTGAAAAACAGAAAAAGAAAAAATGTAGTTTTTTTTAAATCGATTGGAAAGTAATTTGGGAAGCTGAGATAATTGGTACAACTCCGGCACATGACAATGTACAATAACACTTCGGACTTTAATTACTCATATCGGTCATATGAATAAAAAGTACTTACGCGAAAAAAATTGCAAATAATAATTCCTTATGATATGTAACATATAATCTTGATGTCATGATATGGGTTTCGTCATGAGTAATTTCAGGTAATATAAATAACTTACCACCATCTTTTTATCTTTTTTTTTCAACTTTTTTTTTCTCCTTTTTTTCATCATTTTTTTTTCATCTTTTTTTCCGTCTTCTCTTTTTTTCGTCTTCATTTTTTCGTCTTCCTTTTTTTTCATCATCCTCTTTTAGGTCTGTCTTCTCTCTGTCTAGTTCTTTGCCCTTTTCTTTACGTCTTTCTTTAGGTATGTGGGTTGGGAGTGTGGGTTTGTATGGTGTGGGTGTTTGGGTTTGGGTGTGGGTTGGGAGTGTGGGTGTTTGGGTTGGGAGTGTGGGTTTGTTTGGTGTGGGTGTTTGGGTTGGGAGTGTGGGTTTGGGTGGGTTTGTGTGTGGGCTGGTAAAATTTTTGTTTTTTTTTTTCGTCTTCTTTTTTTAGGTCTAATTGTGATGCACTCTTTCATTGTTGCTGAGAACTCCTGTACCATTCAAAACCGTTAGGAAATCTTCTCTTAGGCCTCTTTTCTTCACGTCTTTTTTTAGGTATTTGGTTTTGTGGGTTGGGCGTGTTGTTTTATCTTGTTTTTTTATCGTCATCTTTTCTTAGGTGTATCTGTCTAATTGTGATGCACGTTTTCGTTGTTGCTATAATTGATGGAGAGATCCTGTACCATTCAAAAACGTTGGTTTATTCCGAATCAGTTCTTTCTAAAATATCCATGATAAATGCATATATTTTTGTCAGTAAAATGCCACGTCAATGCAACAAACGTCATAAGAATGTTCGAGAGGCACCTTATGTTGTTAATAGTCACAGAATG